ATACAGATAAAATATAATGTAATATACATTATAATGATAATAATGGAGAGTCAGTTTGTCTAGTGGTTAAAACACCAGGCCAGAAACAAGGACACTGAGTTCTAGTCCTGTCTTGGACATGAAAGTCAACTGGTGACTTTGGGTCAGTCACCCTTTCTCAGCCTAACCCATCTCACAAAGCTGTTCTTATGTGGAAAATAGGAGCAGGAGTCTTAGATACATTCATCACCCTAAGTTATTTATGAAAAATAATAAAGATGGGCTATAAATTTTACAAAAACGAGATTTATCTGAAAACAATAAAATGCCAGTCTGTTTACTGTGCTTGGTGACCCTCAAAGTCCAAATATGTTATTGGGTAGGCTAAAATATATTTTCAATATTACTAGGTGACAATATTAAAATATTTGTAAGCAGGCAGCAAAATTTATGATTACGTTGTTTCTATTAATTATATCCATACTACTTCAGTTAGATTCTATCATAGGCGGTAAGGTCTGCCCCTCCTAGTGTTGCTGCTGGATACTGCCTGCCCATCAGGGTGGTGCTGAGCTGAACACAGACCAAACCAACATCAGATCTAGGCGACAAGCCAGTCAGTCTGTTTTTTGTCGTGACCAATGGATCTACAGCTATCACTGCCAAAATACAGGTAGGTAGGTAGGTAGGTAGGTAGGTAGGTATTTATTTATTTATTTATTTATTTATTTATTTATTTATTTATTTATTTATTTATTTATTATTTAAATTTATATACTGCCCTATCTCCCTTACGGGACTCAGGGCGGTGAACAGGCAATAATAAAAATCACAATAAATATTGAATAAAAAGCCTGCTCTAAAATACCCCATATAAAACCCCTAGCAAAGCCCAATCAAAACTACGCCAGGCCGGCCGCATGGAATAGATGGGTTTTCAAGGCTCGGCGGAAGAGGCGCAGGTCCGTAGTTGTACGTAGGTCGGGGGGTAGGTCATTCCAGAGGGCAGGAGCTGCCACAGAGAAGGCTCTCCCCCTGGGGGTCGCCAGCCGGCATTGACTGGCCGATGGCACCCTAAGGAGGCCCTCTCTGTGGGAGCGGACTGGTCGAAGGGAGATATTTGGTAGGATGCTGCATTTGAACGTGCAAGATGGCATTCAATGATCTGAAAAGCGGGCCCTGTACCTGTGGGAATAACATTAGGTCGGAAGATGATGAATGAGATAGATTCTGTCATCACAAATGCCACTTAACAGGATATCCTTAAGCCTCTAGCACAGGAGACTACGAGAGCGAGGCCTTTTCCTTCTTCACATATCCTTTTTGCCTTTCAGTAATCTATTCTGTGGAACAAATTAATCATGGGAATTCCCAGAGGGGGAAAAACAATAATTTATTCCTACATTTAAATGTTGCAAATGTATAAAACGTAACTCCCCCACTAGCCAATCAGTCATTAATTTCTTTTCCTCTTGTAATGGGAATTGCAAACTTAGATAAATACTACTAGATTAATAAATTAGATAAATTTAGCGTGTAGCATGATGGCTCTGACAAAGTATGATTAGAACACTGATAACTTAGGCTGATTGCTATCTTTGCTGAAAATATTAGATGGCGCACCTTTCTTCAAACAATCTATATTCTTTAGTAATTGTCATCAAGATTAATGTCTGAAGATGCATGTACTAAAAGACAGATTGTTTAAATATGATTTCAGAGCACTACAATACCTAAATTTCAATCTTAAATCATATATTACAAATATTTGATTTCAAGTATTATGTTTCTCTTTCAAATTCCAAACATTACCTAAATTAGCCAAATCAGTTTTAACTTTATTTAGAGTACTTGCACAGGTGTCATTGTTGGAGGTAAATGATTTCAACTGAGTACTATCAATAAAAGAAATTAGCTGAACATTAGCTATGTGAATCTGCCTTCAAAGACATAAAAGCAGAGCACTTCAGCACCACACCTATTATGAAATCTGAAAATTCCTGTACAAGGTTGCCTTCAGGCATCTGTAAGGATTTCTAGGGAAAACTGCTTGCCTATAGATATAAATGGACATAATTCAAATAACTAAGTGAAGTGCAGTAAAGCTCCATACTGTTTTTTTAAAACATTGTTATTAAAAGTTAAAATTAAAAATAGTAAAACTAATACAAACTTTAAAAAAGAAAAGGAAAAGAAAAAAGTAAGTGCAGACAAGAAAACAATAGAAAGGAAATTTGAAAGCAAGAAAAAATAATATGGTAAAGAATAAAAAGAATATAAAGAAATGAATTCTCCATCACAAGTATAAACAATTTAGTAAATTATCATTTCTCTTAAAATACAACAAATAATCTCTTCTTCCCATATTTTATGCAAGCATTCTAAATAAATCTATTGGGAGAGAATTGTTTTAAACATTTTGGGGCTAAAATGGTCAAAAGCAAACCACTAATTCTAAAACAGACATAAACTTTATCAGAGCAAACAGCCAGTGACTCTGTCCAGCCTTTTTTGACCAGCCTTTTTCAATGGCACTATTACTAGGAAAACCTAGTAACGATTCCAACTTCCACCCTTCAAGTATTATGAATCCTGACTATAAGAGAATGAAGACTGTGAATGTCAATGCATTCTTGAAATTTCTTCAGTCAGACAGAGAAAGTTCAGGTGATACCCTCAAATTCTGTCTCTCAATGGTGGGACAAAAATTATCAGTGAGGTATTAAAAATAACCAGTCAACCACAAGGAAGAACTAATGCCATGATCTCTAGTCTCTACCAGATGGTTTTTTTGGCTCAAAACAGCAGCTCAGCTTTCTGACTTCTCACCCTGTATTTGCTAATGTACATCTTTGTAGGCCAGTCAGTCCTTCCAATTCTGTGGAGATACCCTTTTCTGTTTTTGTTTTTGTTTTTATATCTGAAAGGTAGATATATGAACCTTGGCTCAATTAGGCATCTGAGATTCATGGGCGTAACCCTCTGTATAATTAGACCTCTAGATGAGCTCCCTGATCTAGTAGATTAGTATGAGTGTTTCCCTAACAGGCTTGTTATGAGGGGAAGAGAATGCTACTCTATATGTTACTAATAACTCCTGAGAAAAGGTAGGATACAAATCTAGCAAATAAGTACAATAAATAGGCCATTGACCAGTACAAAGAATAATTTTATCCTGAAATCAATGACTCAATGGAAATACTCAATGGAAATACAACAGCATTAAACAGGCATCAGTCAACACAGTGGTGAAAAGAGCACATAATCATTTGGTTTTAGGTTTCACAGTCTTTTTATTGTTATCAAAGAACAACAGGACATGTAGTTATAATTGGGCTGAGGTTCTGAAAATCTGAGAAACCTAAAAGTCTCTGCACAGACCTGTCTTGGCCCTTTTCATTATCGGAACCCAGTTAGGAAGAGGGAACAATCTGAATCACAGGCTGGCTTTTTTATACACAGGCTCCCCCCCACACACAATTAGAAGGGAAAAGTAAAAGTTTCTCATACAGAATAAAGACTTTAATAAAAGGCATGACTTAAGTATTGTCACGCTAGTATTCCTTTCAGGTCAAGGGCTCCATCACTGAAATATGTACAATTGTCATCTTATGTAATTGGACCTGAATGTTTCAAGAATTGTATTACTAACACAAAATAATCAGCATTCAATATTTTTGCCCTACATTGGGGAAATATTTTCCCCCAAAATTGAAATATGTTATTCATTTCAGAACTGATAAACATGGGAAGGAATAAGGGAAAGAGGGGGAGAAATAAATAAATAATGGAAGCTTCATATTTGTCTGTGGACAGAACCCATCTGAAATTGCTTTGTGCCATTTTCACATTCTACAAGTATGCTGTAATCCAGGGGTTTGTGCCATATTCTCTTGTAAAATGGACTTAACAGCTTGCTGTTAATTCATAACAAATCCATTTCCAATAAAACATTTTTCCCACAGAAGGAAAAACTGTCTTCCAAATAGTTTGAAATATCATTAGAAAAGGTTGCAAAAATTCTAACAATCATATCACATACTGAACAATATGATGCCATTTAAGTAGTAATAGGAAGCCATATTTTTGCTTTCCTCTCTCTATATTCCTTCCTTGTGGTGATCAAACTCTTTCTAATAAATATTTTCATTGTTTGTTACATTTTACAAAGTTATCTCAGTAAATAACATATGGCTACAAAGAACCACCCAAAAAAAATCACTGATACTGGACAACAGGTGTTGGGCAAAAATTCATTTTTTAATGTGCAAAATTACATATCAAGTGTGTTGCTCATCACCTTTGAAACTAAACAGATTATATACACTGAATACTTTTACAGATGTTTACTATGTAACTGATGCAATAGTTTCTATGTACAAAAGCATCTATGTACAATGGCTCACATTTAATGAGTCTATACTTAACCCGGGCTAAAAATGTAGGTGAGTGAAGGGGAAACCTTTTTTAAAAAAATCTCAGCAAATGACAGAAGCATTTAAAATATGTCTCCATTTTGGCTAAAATTTGGAACTTTAGTTTTGGAATCTCCATAAACTCTACAAGGATTCAGTAGGAATCTCCCGGGACTGCTTGCCTTTCCTTGGGAACTGATAGATACTGTTTCATGAAGATTAGGTGAGGTCAACAATTCAAGGCTAACTCACTGCTTGATTCCTCCTCTCTGCCTGCTGGGTGGTTCCAATACTTATAAAATAGACAACTAAAATGATTAAAGCCATAAAGTAGTCAGTTGAAACATGTTCATAGGATCAAATCATCACCTCAGCTGCATTCATATAAGATATGAAGTTGTAAGATAATGTGTTGTAAAAATTCATCTAACATACACCTACAAATAATTTGACACAACAGCTGTTGAGCATCGGGCAACTTACAAGTTTAAAAAAAATATTGTAACTTTATAAGCAAATTATCCAAAGAAATGCCTCTACTGTTAGGAAATAAACCTATAAACCCTACTTAATACTCTAAGACATTTGCTACAAATCATGACTTACTCTAAAACTGCAGTACTGGCTGCCTGTGCATGGTAACGATAGAGGAGGAGGCACTGGTCAACTCGAAACACTTCCCCACCTTTTCGAAGATGTTCATAAAAGAAGAGCAGATCCTCCGGGGTTCCCTGCAATAGACCATACTTTGTTCAAATCAAAAGAAGTTGATATAGTAAACTATTATCTTCAAACACTTATAGCAATATAAGTCTAATATAACATATTAGAACCAATGAATACATTTATGTACTGGATCTTCAGAAATATTTTCTATAGCTCAGACATGTCAAACACAAGGCCCAGGGGCCGGATGCGCCCCGCGAAGTGGTTTCATGTGGCCCGTGAAGCCATCCTGGAAACAGTAAGGGAACGGCCCCCGCTGCCTTGGCCCTGGCCTTGGCTGCGTTTCTTGCCTGTTTTTCTCCCTCCCTCATCTCAAATATTTTCCCACCACTCTGTACTTAGGAAGGAAGAAATGAAAGAAGGAAAGAAGAAGAGGGAGGGTCTGAGGGAAGTCCTGCCTTAGTCCGGTCCTGCTGCCCTTTTACCATCCCCTTGCCCCCTCCTCCTGGTCTATCCTGCGGTCTCCCATCCTATTGCTAAGGAAGCTTTGGCTACAAAGCCGGGTCTCCTCCCATGGAGAGGGAATGGGCCTCCCTCTGACTTTGCCCTCGTACCCATCACGAGCAACCTGGCTAAGGAGAGCAAGCACAGCAGCAGCAGCCTTGAGGAAGAGGTAAGTGCAGCTGGACGTCCCCTTGGGGAAGTGGGGCTGGGCTTGGTGCCACGGGTGCTCAACGGCCAGGCTGGGCATTTGACCTCTGCTACCCAGGGCTCCGGGCAGCCTGCACCACCATCCAGCCCCCCACATGGCCTGAGAGGAACGGTGAGGCTCCTCCAGTGGACCATGCCTTGGCACTTGCCCTGATCCCATCCCCTTCTGCCAGAGACCCTCAGATCTGTCCTACTCCTGCCCAGGCCCCCACAGGCCCCCTTGACGTGAACGATGTAGAGCTGGCCATGCCCACCCAATAGGTCACACCCACTCCATGCCCAACCCAGTAGGCCGCACCCACCCTGGCCACACCCACCCAGCCCCCCGAGGGCAACCGCAATGCTGACGTGGCCCTCAATGAAATTGAGTTTGACACCCCTGCTATAGCTAATAAAAAACAATCTTAAATTTTGTTTATGCTCAAAAGAATAAACCTGCTCATTCCTGCCAGGTTCAAAGCTAAAATTTAAATAATCTAGGAAAAAATTATTTGACATTAATAGGAAAACTAGGCAAATTGGTGCCCAAGGTATCAAAGGAAATATGACTACCAGCAACTTACTGTCATTTTAAAGAAACTAAATCAAACATTTATTTGCAATCCACTGTTTTTATTCTTAGTAGTAACATTCAAAAAAGCACATTATAATTAGACATATGTCTGGATCATATTATCTTCATTTCCTTGATTTTTTTCCTATCATTATTCAATCCTATAAAGTATTTTAAATAATAAACTGTAACTGATAAATCAAAACAAATTCCTATAAACATAACGGTCTCTGCAGAAAACATTCACAGATCCAGTTCTACAGACCTTTTGCTAATGTCACTCACACCCTGCCTGCTTCCTATAAACATACCTTGTTTAGCATGTATTTCAGATTTTCAATTATAATTCACAAGACTTCCAAGATGCAAATGAAATATCTTATTCTCCATGACATGAACATAATATAGCTGTGCACTATGAAATTACGAAAAACTATTAGAAAGTAATGCTTTGGCAAAAATACCATGTCACCCGACCTTGAAAAGAACAAAAAAATTGAGTAGTCTAAATTTCCATGATCACTTCAGTATGTGAATTGAAATGTCAATAAGTAGCTATGTGTATCAGACACATAATTTTAAAATCCTAATCTCAAATTATGTCCATTATTTCATATAAAAGAAAATGATCGATATCATCATTCATTGGCATCCTTCAATCTCAAGAGACTATGGTATCATGCTCTGGAAAGAGGTCCTAAGGCAGCATCTGGTGTGGCTGAAAAGGCCAATTCGAGAATGGCAGTCCCTTCCACACTGGGGGCAGATACAATCTGTCCCCTTTCCAGCCAACAGATTTCGGTTCCGGGACTGCCTCTTTGCCTCAGCCTGCCGCACAAGTGTCTGTTCGAATTGGGAAAGACCATGCTGCATCTTTAGCCTCCAGGCTGAACGATCAGAGGTCAAGGATTCCCAGCTGTTAATGTCCATTCCCAAGGCCTTTAGGTCCCTCTTGCAGATATCCTTATATCGCAGCTCAGGTCTCCCTCTGGGGCGCTTTCCCTGCACTAGTTCTCCATACAGGAGACCTTTCGGAATCCGACCATCAGCCATTCTCACGACATGCCCAAGCCAGCGTAGACATCACTGCTTCAATAGTGTATACATGCTAGAGATTCCAGCATATTCCAGGACTGCGCTATTTGGAACTTTGTCATGCCAGGTGATACCGAGAATACATCGGAGACGGCGCATGTGAAAAGTGTTCAGCTTTCTCTCCTGCCGTACGTGAAGAGTCCATGACTCACTGCAGTACAAGAGTGTGCTCAAGACGCAGGCTCTATAGACATGGATTTTTGTATGCTCTGTCAACTTCTTATTAAGCCATACTCTCTTTGTAAGTTTGAAAAATGTGGTGACCGCTTTACCAATACGTTTATTCAGCTCAATATCTAAACAGAGAGTTTCAGAGATTGTTGAGCCGAGGTACACAAAGTCATGGACAACCTCCAGTTCCTGTGCAGAGATTGTAATACAGGGTTATCTATCTCCGGACCAGATCAGATGGAAAACTCTTTAATCTCTCTAGATTGAGAGCAAAGTCTAAAGTCCAGCTGAAATGCCTACGGGATTTCCTCTTTGCTGACGATGCTGCCGTTACTGCTCACTCTGCCGAAGATCTTCAACAACTTATGGACTGTTTTAGTAAGGCCTGCCAAGACTTTGGTCTAACAAATAAAAATGATCGATAACTTGTTTGAATATAGCAACAGTATTGTCATGTGATAATGTAAAACAAATCATATAATCCTCAAACGTTCTCAAGATATTGTTCATTTTTAAACCTACTCTATTACCAAGCTGACATGAGACAATGCTATGTAAACAAATTTGGCTTATAGAAAAGACATACAAGATTAGTGGCATCACAATAAAAATAAATCATAAAACCAACATATATGTTAGGTAGCTAAAAAAATAGTGAGCAGAATATGCTATTTATTTAGAATTTAGAATAGAATAGAGCTGGAAGGGACTTTGGAGGTCTTCTAGTCCAGCCTCCTGCTCAAGGAGGAGAACCTATACCATCTCAGACAGGTGAATGTCTAGTCTCTCCTTTAAAATCTCCAGGTAAGGTAAATCTTCTGGGGGTAAGCTGTTCCACTGGTTGATTGTCCTCACTGTCTTTAATTCCAGGTTGCTTCTCTCTTTGATCAGTTTCCAACCATTGTTTCTCATCTTTCCCTCTAGTGCTTTGGTGAACAACCTGGCCCCCTCTGCCCTGTGGCAGTCCTTCAGATACTGGAACACTGCTAACATGTCTCCCCTATTTCTTCTTTTGCCAAACCCAAGCCCCGTAGCTGTTCATCGTATGTTTTAGTCTCCAGGCCTTTGATCATCTTAGTTGCTCTTCTCTGATTTTTTTCCAAACTCTCAAACTCCAAAATTGGCTGCAGTATTCCAGGTGTGGTCTTACTAGGGTTTTATAAAGCGGTAATAATACTTCATGTGATCTTGATTCTATGCCTCTGTTTATGCAACCCAGGATTATATTAGCTTTTTTGGTTGCTGCTGCACACTGCTGGATCATAGTCAGTGATCGTCCACTAGGACTCCAAGGTCCTTCTCACAGTTACTGTTTTTAAGCCAGATCTCGCCCAATCTGTATTTGTATCTTTGTTTTTTCCTGCCTAAATTTAAGACTTTGCTTTTCTCCACATTGAAACCCAGTTTGTTGGATAGGGCCCATTGTTAAATTTGTCAAGATCTTTTTGGATCCTGAGTTTGTCTTCTGGGGTGTTGGCTACTCCTGTCAGTTTGGTGTCATCTGCAAATTTAATGAGTTCCCCTTCAATTCCCTCATCTAAGTCATTTATGAAGATATTGAAGAGTACTTGGCCTAAGACTGAACCCTGTGGTACCCTACTACTTACTTCTCTCCATGTGGATGTAGTGCCATTGAGGACTACTTTGCCAGCCAGCTACAGATCCATCTGGTGGTGATGTTGTCTATTCCACCTTTTCCTAGCTTACCAAGGAGTAGGTTGTGTCTACCTTGTCAAATGCCTTACTGAAATCTAAGTATATTATGTCCACTGTGTTTCGCTGGTCTACTAATTTGGTCACTTTATCAAAGAATGGGATAAGATTGGTTTGGCATGATCTGTTTTTAACAAACCCATGCTGGTTACTAGTTATGACTTTGTTTGCTTCTAGTTGTTTGGAGATGTTCTTTGATTATCTTTTCTAGGATCTTCCCAAGTATTGATGTTAAGCTGATTGGTCTGTAGATTCTTGGGTCCGTTTTTTCCTTTCTTGAAGATGGGGACCACATCAGCCCTTTTCCAATCCTCAGGTACTTCCCCGGTGCTCAAGGATTTATGAAAGATGTGGTGCAATGATTGTGAGATAACATCTGCCAGCTCTTTCAGAATTCTGGGACGTAATCTGTCGGGTCCCAGTGATTTATATTCATCAAGGTTGGATGAATAATTTTCTTACAATTTTCTTGCTTATTTAATTTTTGTTTCTAGTTGTCTTTTGTAGTGGATTTTTGCTATGTTGGGCTGTAAATTCTTTTTATGTGAAGACTGATGCAAAGAATGAGTTAAGCAGCTCTGCTTTCTCCCTGTTGCATGTTATTTCCTTGCCATCTTATCTCTTTAGTGGAACTATAGTTTCCTTGACTTTTTTCTTGTTATTAATATGTTGGAAGAAAGTTTTTTTTTTTATTATCCTTGATTTCTGTTGCAAGTCTTCGTTCGTTCTGAGCCTTTGCTTTCCAGACTTCATCTTTGTATGTTCTGGCTGTCTGCTGATAATCGGCCTTAGTTATGTGCCCCCCTTTCCATTTTTTGTATT